TTGCTCACAGAATTATAGAATCATAGTAATTTCACAGAAAGAGTAGTAGAAGCTTGGGACCAACTTCCAGCAGAAGTAGTGGGTCAATCATCAGTAACTTCACTCAGAGATCTATCTTTCTGCAATCTGCTATCTGAGTCTGCACTGAAAAATAGAAGTTTCAATCCTAAGAAAGGTTCAGCTCTGCTTTTAGATTGGCTAGAATCTAAAATATTCCCACCATCAGTGTTGCCAAAGAAAATTCAGCCTAGCAAATCCCCAGAAGAGCACTCTGAATTGGCTGTGTGGTTTATGAGGATGTGTGATTGGTGCTTTCTTGCTTTCTAGCCAATCTAAATCTCCCAGCACAGCTAATAGTCGGAACAGCTGATGGTTGGCGGGGGGAGGGAGGAAAAATAGCAACTTACAAAAATTAGGTGAAGGCACAAGCAGGCAAGTTGGATGGCACGCATGCCAGGTAAGAAATGAGTGAGCAGGGAGGGGAGGGGCCAGCCAGTGGCATGATTTGCCAGTTCTCTGAACTGTACAGAATCATAACAACTGGTTCTATAGAACCAGTCCGACCAGGTAGAATCCCACTCCTGAGACCAAGCTATTAGAACAATTATATATCCTACATCTAGAGAAGAGAATCTTCACTTTGAAGTCTTCTTTATTTGGAACACTGTTCAGTTCAAATTTGATAAAAAGATAATCATAGTAATTTCACAGAAAGAGTAGTAGAAGCTTGGGACCAACTTCCAGCAGAAGTAGTGGGTCAATCATCCTGAAGCTAAATATGCTTGGGATAAACACATATCTATCATCCAACAAAAATAAGATAAATAAAATAAAAAACATCAAAGGGCAGACTTGATGGACCATTAGGTCTTTTTCTGCTGTCAGTTTTGTATGTTTCTATAATCTGAAAATCCTAAGAGCAGCAATTGACTGAAACTGTCAGTCAACAATTACAAGTAACAATTATTTGTAATCTGTCTCACCTGTCACCTGTATCTGCATAACCAACCTGTCTTCCCCACGCTACTCCTCTATCAACCCGATTTAAATCCTACCCCAGTCCAGCTGCTCTATACTGTGCATCTGATAATATAAACTCTAGAACACAAAATCTTTTAATAAGATTTGTCAGAAAATGTACTAGTAGATGACTGCTCTCTTTTTTTATCAAACTAAAAACTCACAAAGGTTATAGTTTTCCTTTCTGTGCTAAGATGTGATGCACTGCTTTTCTGTTTGAATTATTGCAATGGTTATTTAACTGAATCAGCGTATGAATATATTGTGCATAACCTTTCTTTTCATGTCTTCCTTTTTTCTATTTTTCTATTTTTGGGTAATACATTTCATCATTCTGAGTGATGAGCAGATGGTAATCCTACAGCACTATTCACTGTTGACAAATAAAGTCCTGGTTTTGATATTTTCTTGCAACAAACTACAGTTCTGAGAGTCTGGCCAAGCTGCACTACATATGAGCTATTAAAAAGTTAAAGAAGTCAGGAAGCATCCTCCTATGACCCAACCACCACCAGTATTGCATTTCCCTTTTAGATTACCCTTCCAGTTGGCAAAGACAGATCTTAAGGTTTTTTGAAGGCCAGGAGAGTGAGGTCTCACCTTACTTCTGGGGCTAAAATGTTCTAATGGGTGGGAGACTCTCTTCTGTTTCAGCAACTGAAAATTTTAAATTGATGGAATCAGTAACATAATCACCCAGCCAGATCAGGTGGGATGGTTTCATGTGATAGGGAGGACGTGGTTCCTCAGCTAACATGATCCCATGTCATGAAGAGCTTTAAAGTTGTTAACTAACATCTTGAACTGAACCCAGATGCAAACAAGCAGACACATTATTACTTCATATCACCACTGCATTGTTATATTAATACTAAAGGGGGTGATTCTCATAAACATCAAAGAATAACAAAACCAACAAAGTAGGGAATGAGGACTATACTGGAGCAGAAACCTACTGTAATTCACCTGTAGGTCCAAATTATGCTTCTCTGTCAGTCTATTTTCTACTACTTTGTATAAGCATTAGGACTTGGACAAAAGTCTGTAGAGATTCTCAGTCATCCAAGTCATAGTTGTCCCAAAGGTGTTTCCCCCCCACCCCCCGGAGACAGATTGACTTTCTTATTTTTTATTTGAAGACATTTTGCTTCTCATCCAAGAAGCTTCTTCAGCTGTGACAGGATAGTGGGGAACTATTCAGGTGACCCTGAGGACATAGATAAATCTCCAAGTGCTTCAACGACCCTCTAAAAGGATGCAAATGACCAGCTGACTGCAAGGAGTATATATCCTTTCATTCCTCACTATCCTGTCAGACCTAAGTGAAATATCTTCAAAGAAAAAACAAGAAAGTCCAGTTGCCACCTGAATATAGATATGCGTGCACACACACACACACACACACACACACACACACACACACACACACACCAAATAGTAAATGTATAGATGGATTCTACTAACCTAACAGATCCAGTCTCAGTTCCATTATAATGGTATTTTCAGAATCATTTATATTTTTTGCAAGAATTAAAAAGGCAGTAATTTTATTTCTCCAATAGACTAGATCCATGCTGGCTATGGAATTCTGATAGAGAAAGTTCACAAAACTTGTTGAGAAACACTGGATTTAGACCAGTCTTTTCCAGTCCAATGCCCTTCAGTTATAATGGATTTCTGCTGTCTGGTAATGATTGGAACTGTAGTTCAGCACTTCATTTTGAGTAGGCTTGATTAGAAAACTAGATTTACAATAAAAAAGTTCAATTGCCCATATGCCTTAAGCTGTGTTTAACAAATATAGGATGAAGAAGTATACAAAAAGAATGTTCCCTGGTGTTGACAACCTGCAAGTGTTTTGTTATTTAAAGCATTTTGTTATTCCTCCACTATTGAAGCATTTAAATTAATTTGCAGGGCAATATATTGTCAAGGAATCAGAATTCATTGGTATAATCACCTTGACTGAAAAAAATAATGCCCATGAGTCATGAAAATATATTTTAAAAAAATTATACAAGTTCATTTTGGGGAAGTAGGGAAAAAGTACATAGTTGGATATGTATGGACATTTTCTAAAGATTTATGATTGTAAAATTCCTAGAACAAGTTCTAAAAAAGCCTATTTCCCAGATAAATACTAATAAAGTTGGAGACACTAA